TATATATATATATATATATATATATATATATATATATATATACACATATATATTAAAAATTCTAAGAAATCATTGAATCTTCTCTTTTTTCCTCTCTTTATATATATGTAAACATTGTAACTTTATAAAATTATCGCAGTATAAAAAATTTTGCATGTGTAATAATAAAAATAAAAATTAGAAAACTATATATCCTTATTTTTAAATACACTGGTATAAATTTTAACTTAAAAAAGTTAATTTGTAATACTAGTTTGGTAATACTCAAATACAAAAAGCTTGCTTTTATGTACCTCAAACTATATTTAGCATTACTTCCAGCAGGAAGCAATAATTATTACAGTATGCAAAAAATTATGTTGAATGTTCATAATATAAAAATGAATAAAAAATACTTATTGATAAAATATAATGGATTAAATTTAAAAAAATTTTCTATTTTTGTCCAACATATAAAAAATTCTACAAATATTTCTTAAATTTCTTTTCATATACATTCATATGAAAATATAATAGGCCAAAATACATATTTTATACCCTATTATTAAAATTTATAATAATTTTTTTATATTTTATGAAAAGAGTATAAGTATATATACACTGAAATATACAGATGAAATAAAAGCTAAGATTATTATAGTTGATTATTTGTTAAAATATATAAGAAAATTAATTTTTAAGAAATACTTATAGAGAAATTTTCTTTCTTTTAAAAGTGGATATAACTATGAAAAATAAGGTGAATAGCTGCAAACAAAATTTGATGAAAGAATATACTTTATACGACTTAAATAAATTATCCAAATTTTTTTTTATAAATAATTCTAGAAATAATATATAGATTGAATTATTTTAACGTTGTAGCTGCATGTATAAAATTGTGATATGCGAATATTAATGAATAACGATGTAATGGGATGCACGCAATCGCCATTTAATACAGTAAATATTATAAATCTATCTATAAACTATTGCTTCCTACTTCGAAATGACACGAACTTCTTAACAACTTTGTTAACGTCATTGCATCGATGTACATGTATACATCACAATGTATTCGTGAATATCACGGATAAAATATATTATGTCAACGTACGTCTTTCAAAATGACTGGTGTTTTTTCTAAATGCCGCAATTAAACACGCATCCATTTGATCTTACAACATTTCAGTGTCTATTGAAATAGACAATACTTAAAAACATCTCAATAATTTTACAGGAATAAATGTATCATATTTTGTGGACATCAAGGTATAATACACAGTAGACGCATTTATGTTTCCTTTTTCCAATGGCTATTAACAGTTATCATTATATGATGTAAAAAGTATATTAAAGTAGTACAATTGAGTCCGACGGAAAAGACGTATTTTGTAGTTTATTCTCATCAGAATTTCTCCAAAATATACTGTATACAATATTTTACTTTACGTATAAATATATACAGTTGTATTACGAGTGCGCACTAAGTATCATTTAGTGTGTCTCAAACATGAGATTGAGCAGTGCGCCATATTCTACTTTATATGTCTCAGAAGATACACTACCTTCTTTAGTGTAATTTTATTTTATTTTTTATAGTAGTATAGTGCTTGTGATATCCATTTACTTTGCGTCTAAGCACAGAGGTATAAATTGATTAATTAATTTCTTCTCTTAAGATAACTAACAGCTTAATAATGTCCTGTCCGCATCACTTATATCATGAAAATATTTACACTGTTTAGGGTACTAATTAATGATTACGATATTTCATAATAAGTTTATAGGATATGAGATCATTGTTTAGGGGGGCTAATCAGCATAACAATGAACTGTTGATTATCCACATCTGCAACTTCAACTTGTACAAATTGAGGTTGTTGAAGTTGAATTTGTTGTACTTGTCTTCCAATAGCATTACGTGACCTATAAAAATCAAATAATTCATATTACTAAATAATAATTATTTGTTAATTATTTTACATTTAAAAAATACATCACAAAAAAAAAAGAACAGAAGTTAAATACTTACTTAGCCTTTGCATGTGTTAATATATGTGATTTTAAATTTGTTGATTGTGCAAATTTTTTGCTACATCCATCAAATGGGCAAACATAAGGTCTGTCTCCTGTATGAATTCTAACATGTGTACGAAGATTAAAATCCAGACTAAACCTTTTACCACATCCTTCAAATGTACACTGGAAAGGTTTTTCTCCTGTATGAACTAATTGATGCCTTTTCAATTTAGAACTTTCAACAAAAGCTTTCCCACATTCTGCGCATACATGCACTCTTGGCCCATGAGTATGTAAATGTTTACGCATTGCACTATTATCTCTGAACATTTTTGTGCATCCTTTATGTGGACAGGCTATAGTACGTTCAACACCATCTAGAACAGGTGGTTTGCGTACTTTCAATTTATGGCCCGGCCTAGCAAATTCTGCCAGTTGTTTGGGATCCGAAAGGTCAAGACCTGGCATTCCATCAGAAATGGAGCTTCCAGAATGATTGAATTTGGCATTGGATTTACCAGTCATGTATTCTGTGTAGTCTGGATCAGGCTCTGGATTTGAGCCTTCATCTGGAACATCCACCAGGTGAGGAGCTAATAGGACACTCCCTTTAACAACAACAAACAAGCAGTCCCAAACAAAAGCTACTGTATTTATTTTTTATTATTAAAATCACGTATTTTTATCTACATATAATATCAGAATAAAATTGTACAATGAATAAACTTTTTACAACTATTTAACTAAAAAAATAAATATTTATATACATAAATTGAATGACAAAAACTTTTTTTAATTATACTTTTATATAAAAAAAATGTTTTTCTTTAAAAATTCATATATATATATACATTTTTTAAAAAATTATTATATATTCAAATAACTTGTAAAGAATTTACATAGAATAATTAATTATAAATAAAAAAATAAAATATATTTAATATATAAAAAAATCTATACGAGTTTGATAACAAAAAAAATTAATATGAAAAATATGTATTCCATTAATATTTTATTTCAATAATATATAAAATATAAATATAATAGATATATATATTTTTTTCTTATATATAGATATAAAATATATAGATATAACATGAATATAATTTGTATTATAATCAGATAATAAAAACAGATATAAACTTATAAACTTGTATTTAAAAAGAAATCTCAAACTTATTTCTTTTTATATCACATTCATTTTAAAATATTTTTAGTGAATTAATTTGATTATTGATTTAAATAATACAAATGTATGATTACGTATTATTTGTCAATTTATTTTATTTTTTAATATTTTTTTATTTTTTTTATTTTATAATTTGTTAATAAAAATTTTTAAAATGAAAATTAAAATTTTAATTCTAAATTAATTTAATTGCAAATATTTAAAGAGAAACAGCTATTACATCGAATGATGTAAGAAGTTAAAGTGTTTCATATTTGAAAGAATCTATCTTTTTTTAAATAATTTTAATACAAAAAACAATAAATTATATTTTTTATCTAAATATACAGAAACTAATATAATGAAAAAAATTAAATATCAAATAATAATGCGTACTTAAAAAAATAAAGATAATACAAGCATAGATCTTTGTCTATTCTGTTGTAAGTATATCTCCGCCATTATCATTCAACAAGACAGATCCACGTAAAAGAAGCCATTTTCAAAATATGGCTGCCCCCTGGTAGCATAATGGCGTTCCCTCGATCAAAACAAACAACGCAAACTGTCAACGAATTCATCAATAATAAAAAATTAGAAGACTTTATTAATTTCTTTGAGAAACGCGTTTGGAAACTACAGTATTGATTCGACATCACCGGAAGTACGTATGAACAGTGTGCATGAAGAACTCATTACAAAAAGTTTTCTACCTAATTACTTCATTGTGTTTTATTTAAACTATCAAAAGGTTAGAAATAAATGTAAAACTTACCGTCGTCAGTACCCGATGCCCACATCGTCACCGAAAATTCACCTTCGAGCGTCTTGATTTGCACTTGCTTCTGCTCCCACTTTCTAGCCTTCGTTTCTGAGCCCATTTCCCCAAAAATCGTATGATCAGACGATTTAAATTTCGACGAACCACCTTTTCTGGCCTTCTTAGGACCCTTCCTCGATGGACCAGGGCTTGACTCGACATAAATATCGTTCTCTGGAACTGGGATTTGATCATATACGCTTAGTGGATCACTACCGACGATTTCCTCTTGCGTCTGTAGTATGATTTCTTCGCGTCCTGGCTCTGGAAGAGTTTGAAGAGCTATCATCGGCTGCCCATCTTCTCCTTCGATTGTAGTTTCCACAGTCTCACAGGGTATTTCTACTGGTATTGTTTCTATTTCAACCTCTTGGATATCTGGTTGAATCTCCACTTCGGTTATTATGTCCGAGGACGCCATATTAATCTCCGCTGACGCCATGTTACTAATCAAAATGGCTGGCCACGGTTACTCGCGCGACAAGCGGAGCAGCAAGTTAACTGATCACGTGATGTGCTCCCACCATCATGATTAGTAATATGGTGCTCATTCAAAAATTTCATCCACTTGTTTAAATCAGATCTTTATTTAAAATTATTATTTTAATTTCTTATAAAATATAAAGTTCATGTACAATTAAGTGCACACTATATTCATTATAATGTTTCATAATATAATGTATATTTTTGAAACGATTTCTTATATTTGATAAATTTCTTATGAGAACAACTAAATATGCTTTTTCTCTTTTTTTTTATTATATGATTGCTCCATCTATTGAGAAAATGAAATAATACTTTTATTAAAAGAAAATCTTAAATTTTGGTTAGACATGTAATAAGTATGGTTTTTGCATTATTCTTTCATATATCTTCTTGTTTTTATTAATATCTTTAATAGTTTTTTAAAACTCTGTAAATATATAATCTTATGATATTTAAAGTAATATCAAGTGTACATATATATCTGATGTAACAAAGATATAGGTTATAATTTTGAGATTATTAATATAATGGATTTATCAAAAATTCCAAATGATAAAAAATTATATCTCTGCAAATGGTATTTTAGAGGTAAATTATGCATATTTAATTGCTTTATTTTTCATTTAAAAATATATGTAAATGTTTCTTTATTTTTGAAGCTGGATTTGTTTTTCTACCATTTCTTTGGGCTGTAAATGCTATTTGGTTTGCAAAAGAAGCTTTCGTTGAACCACATTATGAAGAACAAAAACAAATTAAAAGATGTAAGTTATAAATAACTTAATATAAGTTATTTTAATATATTAGAATTTTACAATTCTTTTTATGTAATGAAAACTTCTTATTATGTTAAAAGTTATAAAATAATTATATTGATTAATTAATGTTATTGATTCTATTTTTATCAAATCCTATATTTTAATTTTCTTTATTATATTTAAGTTTATATTTAAGTTTCTTTTATTATATTAAAAATTTTTATATAAGTAAATATATATATATATATATTTTATATATATATTGACATATTGATATTTTTATTAACTTTCATAACTTTCAGATGTAATATTTTCTGCAATTGGAGCAGCTATATGGTCAGCTGCTCTTTTAGCATGGATTATTACATTTCAAACACAAAGAGCAGCATGGGGTGAATTTGCAGACTCTATTAGTTACATAATTCCAACTGGCATTCCTTGATGTTAAAATATATCTATCTTTGTATATTAATAAGTGATTATTATAAATTTTTATTGTATGAATTAAAATGAAATAAGACTGTTCTTTTGTCTTTGTATTCAATTAAATAATAATTATCTTTAAGATGTAAAAAATATATTATTTATTTAGATATATTGATATTAAATAAGATTAAAATTTGATAAAACATTCAAATTTTAATTAAATATAATTGAATGCAAAATGTAACATTTTATACAATTTACATCATTTATAAAACGATTTAAATTACAAATAAATATTTAAGAACTTATTTATTGTACATATATATTGTTTTTTATTTAATATATAAGAATAAAATTAAATAGCTCTTCGCCGTCGTCTATATACTTGTACATCTCGATAAACTAATCTTGACAGAAGCTAAAAATTAAGTAAAATATTAAAATTGAAAATATTAATTATTTCTTAAGTATTTTTTAAATAAACTTACCAATAATGCCAACATGTCTGCAATCATAAGCATATAAAACACATTATGCCAACCAGTCCAACGTGCTACTACTCCTGCTAATAATGGACCTACAGCAGCTCCAATACTTCCTGTGCCATCAATAATTGCAGTAACTGTAGCTAAAGCTTTAGAATTGTTTCCTAAACTAGGATGAGTTCCTAATTCAGCAGATACTGCAGTTGTTATTAAGGCATATGGTCCATTTACTAATAGACCTGCTATTAGTAATAATATAATGTTGAATGTCCAACCAGTGCTTCCAATGTAGTCATATATGAATAACTATACAAGTTATAAAAAAATTTTATAGAAATAAATAAATATTAATTTAATGATATTTAAAGCTTAAGTTACTAAAAATTATAAATATTTTAAATTATTTAAATTACTATTATATATAAATTTTTAATATAAATTAAACATACAATAGGAACTGCAAATCCAAACATGACTGCACATGTTAGAGCACTTGTACCACTATAATCAGATAAAATACCAGCTGCTATTGCACCCACAATACCACCAACATCAAAAAAAGTAGATAGATCTGCACTTAATGTTGTGCCATATGTAGCTAAAAATGAATAAAAATAATTGTATGAAAAATGAAAAATTTCAATATACAATTTATAATTAAAATTTAAAGAATACTTACTTGAGGCTGCAATATACAATGGTAACCAATACAGGAATGTATAGCTAACAAGCTTTGCGAAAAATAAAGAAAGAGAATATTCTATTACTCCAGGTATCATCATTGCTTTTGCAAATCCAATTGCATTTCCTTTATGAATTTCTTGTATATGTCTATGCCTTTGTAATATTGGACTAGTTTCAGATCGTGCACTTTCCACATCCTTACAAAATAAACTTTTCATAAATATTTATAAAAGTATTGAAGAAATATAGATATACATATACAAATGCAATAATTAATAAAAAATACCAAAAAAAAAAAAAATAATTTGAATATTAAAATGTTAGTAAACATTGAAACAGAATATAATTTTATGTTAATATAATAATATATAAAGTAATTAATTACATAAAAAGAACAAAGCATGCACTTACATCAATATCAACCTGTTCGCGGTAGGCACAGCGATAAGTGAGACGCTAAGTATAAAGTAAATAGCTTTAGTGAGCGTACAATATGCGCAAAAAAGAAAAATAAATATAAAAATTTAATAAAAATATTTTTGCAACTAATTAGAATATCATTTAATATTACAAAATTAAAGAATTATTATTTAAAAATAGAAAGAAATTAGTATTAAACATCCAAAATTATTAAGATAAAATAAAATTAATATAAATAAAGAAATATACATTGCTAAATTTTTCTTTGCATATCATATTAATATAATATCATAATATATTATATTAATATGAAATATTTGATAAAGATGTTATGTCTACATTCTAGTGCTATAAATAATAATAAAAACAACTAATAGTGCACAACATGCTGAAAATTAAATAAAAACATCACTAAGAATATATTTTTAACTTACACTATATGATTGATCACATTGATCTTCTGCACCACTATCTTCATCCGAACTGTGAACAATTTCAAATTTTCTATATTTAGTTGGGACAGGTGGTATACATCCTATATCTATAGGATTTGGTGCAAGAAATAAAAATATTATAAATCCTGCAAAACCCATTGTTATTCCAGGTACCATAAAACTTAGACCCCAATCAGATTCCACAAATTCAGCAGCTATTAAACTGCCTAAAATATTTCCTAATGATGTATGAGAATTCCATATTCCAAAAATTAATCCTCTTTTTCCTTTTCCAAACCAATTTCCTACAACTGTAACTACACCTGGCCAACCTGATGTTTGAAAAACACCACCTAT